AATTGGAGTGACAGATCTTTTATTTTTGGTTTAAATTGGTTTTCATAATAATAACTTCAAATATTACATTTCCCCAGGTATACGGGCATGTATAAATACAGGCACTAAGACCTTTAATGGAAATCTGTTATTTTTATTAACAGAAGCTTTTCCTGCAAAGGTGGCTGCATAATACACTAAGAGAGCAAATAACAGCACAGAAAGTGTCAGCAACCCTGTGGAGCCTCTAGTGGTCACCAGGAAGGGGGGGAATGATGATACAAAAGGGGAGAAGATGGAATCTTGATACAGTGGCAGAGTTTGGTTGCGGCGTGTGCTGGAACAGAGGTGGGGTCAGGAGGGAAGCTGACAGTGGGTTACAGTTTTGCCTTCTCATCGCTCCAGGTGTGGTACTACAGTACACTTAGTACTTCAGTAGTAAGTTCAGAGTCAGTTTTAAAGAAATACAGTAAAATATTTGCTTTAAATGGATGTATTTATGATGGTAAAATAAGTAATTCTTAACAGTGAAACACAGTAGTGCTTCTTCATGTTTTACTTCCTCATGGAACTCCATAGCATTAAACCCACTTTTATGAGTGATATATGTAATATGGCATATAAGTTAAACAGTTAACAGAAAGGAACTTCAAGAAATAGTCACTACTGGAGCTGGTAGTGAGTGGCGGGTGATGACATGAAGATTAATAAAGTTTGACTTTGAATTTGGCAATTTTTGCCACTTACATGAACTTTTTTTTCCTAAAGTATAACCCATTTTTAAATTTTTGCAGTATGTTGTATATTTCCAGAGCAAGTGACAGAGTTTATTGTGTTAAATAGTTGAAATAAGTGGTTGCTGAGGAAAAAGAAGTTAGACAAAATTAAAAAGCAATTTACTTGGGAAGAGGTCTTTGAAACATTCTATGTATTAGCTATCAGATCTGGTTTTGCTTTATTTTTCTGGAAAATGATGATGTTCTTCAGACTGCCAAGTTTTACTAGTAAATATACTGCCAAAGCTTGAGAAAAATAAGTCAAGGACTCTTAAAATTACATAGTGTTGAGTGAAAAGCCAAAGAGAGGGGTTTTGTGTACCAGAAATCCTTATCCTTTCAAATATAAAAAATATATATCTGATGCTGTAAAATGACCCATATTTAATTTCCTTTCAGATCATATTTAAAGTGCCTTAAATGTAAAAGGAGTAACCAAATTGCAGAAATTTCTCATAGTGTACTGGCATGCTCCATCTGACTACCTCATTGTTTCATTATTTCGGAGATATGATTACACAGAACCATTTTCAGGGAAGAGATAATTTCTAATTTTGGCAAATTCATCCTGGCTACAAATGAAGTAGTATATTTTGCTTCTTTTCGTCCACGAGATGAGGAACTGATTTAACAGCTTTTTGGTTTTATACCATCTGGAGGTTCATATTTGACTTATGAAATGATGTCATACGTGCTTAGTGCAGAGCAGATAGGATAAGGTCGCCTGCAGTTCAGGCTGAGGTAGTTTTATTTCATATTATGGGGAATGCAAAAGTCTTGTTTCACGATTACTAGAGGCAGAAAGAAGAATTCAGGGAAGGAGAAAATGACTGACATAACCGACGCTCTCTTAAACCTCCACATTGCATTCCCATGGATAGAAAATAAATCTGTACACCCAAGACCACACACAGTACAGGTTCCCTTTCACTCTCCCAGACTGGCACTGGCTCAGAGTTCTGCCTCCGAAAACTCACGTAGAGCACTGCTTTCAGAATGGCTCCTTGCTGTCAGTGGTAGTCTGGGGGATGATGTACCTATTCTATCAAAATACGTGAACTTCATTATGTAGGTGGATTTCTGAATTAAAGTGCTCTGCTGTAACAGTCTCAAGGTGAGGAGATATAAGAAAATAGGTATGTATTTGGCAGATGCTTTTCTGCCACCGAAGGCTGTGCTGGACATGCTGAACTCCTTCTGTCCCAATGGTTGTACTGTCCTTGTGTGAACTGGGGTTGATGGGATTGAGATTCTCTGGCTGAGATTCTCAGTGCAATTGAAGCTGCACTTCAGTCATGCTTTAAAGCTTTTATTTGAAGCTACCAAGGCTAGAATTGAATTCTTAAATGAAAACCAAGGTAGTCTTATATTAAGAGCAGTCTCTGGTAGGGACTGGAGTTCTAGGCAGAAGTTATACCACTTATATCTGAATATATTCAGACCTTAAGTCCATATGCAACTTCTGGAAGAATGCAATTCACCTCAAACATATTAGTAAACTGTTGCAAAGTTACCACGGAGCTGAAAAAACTGATCTAAAGTGTGAACTATTTACATGAAGGTGTGTGGAGTAATCTATTTCTAACATTAACAAGAAAACAGTCTGTTTCTGCATTTAGAGTCAGTCCAGACAATTCTGAGATACTGGGTGGGTACCTGGTGCTCTGTGGCACAGTCAAGGTTGCAACCCTTGGACTGACTTAAAAGTTTTCATGTGGATGACCTGAATGCTAACCAGTGAAAGGAATAATGGGCTCTGCTGCAGTTCCACATGTGTTTCTTTTTGGTGTGAAAGAAAACCACCATACACTTTCTCTTGTCCCTCCAGGGTGAATTTGTGTCTTTGTGTAAGGAATAGAAATAATGTATTGGTCGTGCTATGAGCTGGCTGGTGGTGAGAGAAAAAGCAGAAAGGTTTAGTTATGTGGTGCTGTTTAATTAACTATTGTGTGAAGGCAAGATTGGGGCCTGAGAAACTGGAGTGGACAGGGCTCTGCTCCTGTTTCCCACACAGGTTGTTGTCACTCAGACTGGGAATTCAGAGCCATTTATTCATTGTCTCAATCCTCCTTCTTGTGCTCCCGAGTTTGAATGCCTAAAATCCCCATTTCCAAGTTGAATGTAGTGATGTAATGATGGCAGGGTGTGTGTGAAGAAGTTTGCGAAGAAGAGTGAGAATTGTCTGCTCAGCCCTTTGACTGGGGACTGGATGGGTAGGGAAGAAAAGATTATTGACTCAGCAACTGCCCGGCTCAGCCGAGCCCAGCAGAGCTGTATCAGCACATGTGTTATCCCAGTCACTGGGGAACGGTATCAGTGCTTTGTTTATCCATCTAATCACCTTCAACTCCCCTTGACTTGAAGCATTAAAGCTTCTGCCTCGTGGCAGTTGGAAAATGAGACTTGCAGAGCCTGACTGAAGAGGAACCGCTCTCGGAGCTCCCGCTGCAATGTTATGACGAGCTCCTCAGCTGCAGCTTAAAGGCCCAACAGAGATTTTTCTGATTTGACTTAAGGGATTGCTTTCAGACATGAAGCAAATAAGTGATTAAGTATAAAGAAGACGTGGTAATGAGTTTCAGATGAGGTCTTTAATGTTTATTAAAAGAGGTCTGAAAGTTTGCTGCTACTACTGTTTCTTGGTTTCCAATTCAAAAAGTCATCTTTGGATCCCATACTGCACACTGCTTACAAACTGAGAGATCCTATTACTGTAATATTGTAAAAAATAGTCTTAAAAATAAAATAAATCCAGTAGAGTATAAATCTTTTTTCCAGTGTATAGAAAGGCAATGAGCCATTTTAAGAGCAGGAAAAACATGCATTTTGAGATCCAATAGATCATCTAAATTAGTCCCAAACCAAGCTTTAAAATGGCATTGCAAAGACTTTTACTTTGAGTAAATTTAGCATTACAAAACTCAGAATGTAAATAAATATAGATCTGCTGATTGTTTTGTACTTTGCTAATATTCTGATTAACTAGGGGGAAAATGGCTTACTAGATTAGACCCTTGAAATAAATAAGAACCTTTCTGACTATTCCAACTGCAGAACTTAAAAATGTGAAGCCAACATTTATGCCCTTTCAGTTACTACTATCTAGCTTTTTATTATGAATTAACCTTATGAATTTCTAGGTAATGAAAACTTTAAGCTCTTATTCTTTATTTTCTACCATTTGTGTGTTTAAAATTTGGATTATTGAATCTAAAATTTCTCACTTGCCTGACTTCCTGCAGCTCTCTTGTATATGGAGAATTATTCTAGGTTGCCACGTCGTATATTTTCAACCCAAACCTTGTCTTCCCAGTGGTGTACCTTGGAGCTAAAACAAGCCTGTGAGTCCACTTAATGTGAACACCTCATGGTCCAGAGCTGCAGAAGAAGCCTCTGTTCAAGGAAACCTGTCTTTGTAATAATAAATGATTTATCTTAGTTCTCTACTTCGCAAGATGTTTAATAGTGCTGACCCAGTTTCCTGGGTATACAATGGTTTCTTGTGTTATTTTATTTACGAATGAGCTTTGACTAATATGATGCTCACATAGAAAAGAAAAAGCGTCTTTTGGTTTTGAGAAACTTTACATAAAACCTGTTCTTTGCTCCCCAAATCCCCCCATTATTTTATGCTGAGAGCTGCTGGGCAATTCATTTGTAACTGCTTTTCTGAACCAGAATGTGGAAGCAGGTATGATTTAGTGGAATTCCTGAAGGGACCAATACATGTAAGGTGTGATTCCTGCAGTACTGATGGTTAAATCCAAACATATTCTGTTTCTTTAATGAATTGTCTGCTATTTTATTACTGTTAGAATTGCATTAAGAGAACAATAAAATTGCATACTTGAGCATTTACACAGCAAGAAATGAGAATATCGAGAGTGCTTACACTCTCTGGGCTTGTTAGAATTCTTTGGATTTTTTTTCCTTTTTCGTGTTTCTAAAGAAAAAAACCCTCCAGTTATGTATATAGAACATTTTGCTTAGGAAAATTGCTGGAATACCCCTTATTTTGTTTGACAGGGATTTGTGCTTACTACAGAGAGGTACAGTCAGATCTGTTTGTTAAGAGACTTGTGCAATTCACAATGGAGAAAAGTGTAACAAGTAAAAGAGTCTCTTAGTCTGAGATGAATTTGGAAAATCGACATAGAAAAAAAATAATGCACTTCTTAAGTGAAGGAAAAAAAGAGAATTAGAACTAAAACTAAAACCTAAATATGTTTGATTTACTTACTGTAGGTTGATGCCTTGCGGTTACGACTGGAAGAAAAAGAAACCTTTCTGAATAAAAAAACAAAACAACTTCAAGACCTCACAGAAGAGAAAGGAACCCTTGCTGGAGAAATTCGAGATATGAAAGACATGTTGGAAGTAAAAGAAAGAAAAATTAATGTCCTTCAAAAAAAGGTAAGATCACTGATGAAAGGATACGTTGTAAAACTTTTGAGACACATTTAAAGGGAATACATTTATTTCTTATAAGGTATTACTTTTAATATGTTAAAAATGCAGGAAATCTGTAGTAGTCAAGTAGTTCTCTAGTATAAAATGTGTTACTGTTATCCATGGAAACATTTTTATAGTATTATATCTTATTTATATTATATCACAAAAATATTAGGTGCTGAAGTTGTCACAAAATTGTTGGAGTTAAATGAAAGTCCTAAAAATCCTGATAAAACTTCTTGTTCCTCAACATGAGGGATTCAGTTATCCTTATGAACACTGATTCTGGGTGTGGTAAAAGATCAGGATACTCTGTTTTTAGCCTAAAGACTTTTTTTTTTTTTTAAATGGGAGGTGGGGGGTGTTGGAAAGAGGAGGGGAGTGGGGAAGGAACCTAAATTAAGTCAGTTTTCTGTTTTTCCTGTGAGCTAAAGACATTAAGAAGGGTGGCTCCCTCCAAAGAGTCAAGTAGTCGTATTTCTAATTTTCCACAAATCTAACTAACTGCATTTTCTCTCTTTGGGAAGTTGGGTTCAGTCATTATAGTTTCCACCTGGGGGAGCAGAGAGGGAATTTCCTGTGAAGGCAGCTCTGCAAGGGTTCTAAATACAGTAGTAGAGCATTTATTTCCATATCCTTTTTCTCACACTCACAAAAACATTTATGCTACCAGGTATGTTCTGTGTGTCCTGTCACTCTTTACCATGTGTAGATGCCCTTGTGAACATACAGATAAATGGAGAAAAAGTTCCTGGCATCAAATATATTTTACTATTACTTCTGCCCTCCTTTTACAGCCACTCAAAGAATGTCTGCTCCTCTTTACTCTATTATTATGTAGGTAGTTCATGTTACTGTGGTTTTCCTCCAGGATTCATGTAGGGTTCACATGGTCTAGCTGTGCTTCTGTCTGCAATTGCTTAAGTACAGAATTAAAAAAAGCCAAGGCCTTATTTTCCAGAAACTGAGAAGACTGCTTTTTCAGGCCTGGGAAATAAAGCCTATCAAAACTGGGATATAAGTACCCATCCACTTTGCCTTTTTAGCAATGTTTATGATGTAAAAGATAGAAAACTTCAGGGCTTTTATCCTGTGCTGAATGCTGACTAGTTCTGGACATTGCTTGAGCATTTTGAAGAACAGAATGTGTCTTTTCTCTTTGTTTGTATTCTAAAAAAAACCCCAAACCCCGAACAACCCAACAATTTACAATTTCTCTTGTACTTAGATCTTGAGGAAATGGATCAGTATGGGGAATGTGAGGATCAATAGGGAAACAGTGATAAAAATTTTGTGATGAATAACCAATCACAGAGCTATCAGCACTGTCAGTCATGTCTTTGTGCTCAGAAATATGCAGCATAACATATTTTGTTCTGGTTTTAATACATTATGGCTATTTTATTAGGGCATGCAGATGGTCTTGCCACTTTTGCACCTGCCTCTTAATGGAAATAATCCCTCTCAAGCTGCACCCTCTCTCCTCACTAGATCATAGAGTAAAACATGTTATAGCCTCATTAACTCTAGTGTACAATGAGATAAATAAATCCTGCTAACAACTAGGTGCAAAATCAGAGTTAGTAGTAAAATGATTCTTTAAAACTGGAAGTAGCAAGTGCTTCCAGTTCTTTGTAAGTTTTATCTAGGCATTAGATTCTTCTGACTGTAATAATATCGTGCTTGTCTCCGTTTTCTTCTTTCTATGTAGGGCTAAATTTTACATCCTTGTATTTTTATTTACTTTTGATATGAGGACTTATGAATAACCAGTTATGTTAGTGCCTTTAGTTATTGATGCGAGATAGATGGCTACATCTCTCTCCACTCAGCCTGAAGTACTTCACTCAGCCTAAAATAATATTTGTTTTAATGGTTGTATTGAAGTAATTGAAGAAGGAAGAATTTGTATATAGTGCTTGGTAATATTTCTGTCAGTAATAACCTGAAACCCAGGAGGAAGGAATATGTAGGTTGGAAATATGCAATTTCTAGTCTTTCTCTTAGGTACCTAACTGTTATCTGCTGTGTGAAAAAAATACAAAGGAAACCAAACCAAACTCTGAAAAGCTCCCTTTCGAAACTGGAGCTGTTCCTTCTCCTTTCTGGATAGCTGTTACACTTGGAGGGCAGGACAGGTTCTGTTGATGGCTCTCTATCAAAGGTGTGGAAGAAACAAAACCAAAACAGCAGTGTTGAGTCCCACAGGATGGCACAGGAACACGCACCAGGCAGTACGTTGCAGAAAAAAGTTAGATAAAGAGCATTGTCCTCCCATGCAGTGGTTTTGGTGTAATTTTTGACCAAATTGAAAAACTGCTACACTATTTAATATAATTTGCAGGCTTAAGGGAGGCCCAGCTCTGGAACAGCATGTGTTTAGAGGATTTGGATCAAGGTAGATTGGCATGGAGTAATAATAAACTTATGTCAATGTCAGAGGTGCAATATTACTTAATATTTCTTTTCTTTTAGAATCTTTGGCACCACTTTTCCATTTTAGTGCCAGTAAAGTTGGGTATGCTGTTTTAATAGCCTTGTTTAACCTGGCAAGGCTAGTCTTACACCTCATATCTGTCAGTTTAGCATGCAGAGGGGCAGACCTCAGAAATCTTTATGTATTTCGTAGCGGAATGTGTAAGTTCTATGAATATGGTCGAGTTGAAGGCTGAAGGGCAAAAGTGCTGAACGTGGCGATGATTCTTTCATGTCCCTTTTTGTTCACAAATTCTCTCTTTTGTGTAGTTGCTATAACTGGTATATTTTGTCCTTTAGGAATCTATAGGTATGCAAAACCACCAGTTATATGCTCTGAAGTGTGAGTCTCGGTGTTGAAAACAGTAGCTGCTGAGACAAGAGCAGTGCAGAGAATGTAGACCTGGATCATATTAGGACAACAGCTTGTGGAAATTCTTTTGTGAGGACTGTCATAAAAGAACACCAGCTAGAGGGGGCTAATATAATATTCTACTTTGACTTGCAACATAACTTTTTATGTAAAATGTTACAGTTTCCATCTTTAATAGTTTAGGCTTTGTGATTGATGAAGTGCTACATGACTGAGGGCCCTAACCTACCAGCTAATTAGCATTTGTAGGAAGTGTCATAAAGTCTTAGTTCTCATGTAATAATTGGAATCTGTACTTGGAGTGGCTGGACTGTTCACATGAGGTGATATTGTCCAGTTGGTGTTAAAGTAAAATGTGTTGTACCATTAATTGTATGCATTACTGCGAGCTGTCTTCTGAAAAAGAGAAAATTTACCCGTGGTCAGATTAGGAGTGTACTGGGTAAACAAAGGAGTCCTACCCTTGTGCTGAGAAGTTTGCATCAGTATTATTGCTTGATGCAGGAATCCTGGCTAAGAACACCACTGAAACTTGAAGTGCTGAATCCAGAATGGTCTGGAAAGACCCCAGAGACCATTTTCTTTTGTTTGATCTCAACAAATAGAAAGTGCAAGCATATTGCTGATAGAAGATGCCTTTGGATTTTTATTCGTGGTTTAATCAGTTGGAAGCATGTTTTTGTATTTCTAGAAAGGGATCATGACATGATGAAGGAAATTTTTATTAACTTTGTCAAATTCTGTCAGAACATTGTAAATAGACTGTTATGTGAGCTGAGGTTTTGCAATCACCAAATCAGAGTTCTACTGAAGTTTTGGAATCGGATGACAAATTCTGAACTAGTTGTTCTGTAAAACAGACCAGTGTTCTGACTGTAGATTTAGAGCATTAAAAAAAAATTAGGGAGTCCTTCTGGTGTAACATGGAAGTTTTGGTGCTGCAAAGCTGCTATGGTGACTGTTGACTTGTGTATTACTTTAAGAGCTGAATCTTCTAATATTATATGTCCATTTTAATAGTACAACATTCCATGTGCTGAGAATTATTAAATTGTACTTTGGCTTCTTGTGCTTGCAGCTTTGCCAAATCATGGTGTGTTATTCAGATAAGGCAGTCTGAATAAATACAGCCAATTGCTCATGCAGGGTGGTGGTGTGACTGATCCCAATAAATTATCACAAAAATGGATCCTGAAGGATTCTGCACAATAAAATGCAGCCTTGGGACCCTTCAACTTTGCGTGTGGTACATGTTGAGACTATTTGATACGTACAAACCTCCCCCTTAAGCCTAACCAGGCCTACTGTTGGGAAGCTCTCAACCTGTACACAAAGACACTGAGAACAATGCCATTAAGATTAGAGGCAGTGCTTATTTTCACTTTTCTTCATCTTCTTTAATTTCCCATTGTTTGCAACATGTTACACTACTAAGTTTTTGCAGGATGTGAAAGATCACTGGAAATGTGTTATTTAATATACGTTGACTCAGTGAAGCCAACCTGAATGTTCATCCATAGCCATGAGTCTCAATATGAAGGGAAGCATCTATTCCTTGGGATGGCCTTCACTTGTCAGAAAATATTACAAGAAGAAAGACACATGTAGTCTTTCATGAAGTATGATCAAACTGCAGGTGGTCAAACTACTCTGATTTCTGTACTAGTAATGTACTCTGAATAGGGAACAAAGGAACGTGTTTGTTTGCATGTTTGAAAATCTTAATTGTAATTTAAAATCCTGAAAGTTGAAAGTATTAATTTGTCTGCCTTTGCCACCTGTGGAAAACTGAACGTTTTGGATATCTCTTTTAATTCATTTGGGAGCTATAGGGTAAGAGATTGTTAGTGAAAGTGAAAAAAGTAATTATTTGAAAAAATAGGTTGAAATAAGAAATAAGTGCTTTGAAGAGATGCTGTAATATATGTGTGTATGTTTGTGTAGCTTCGTATGATGCTATTGCTACATATATTATTAACAAATACATTAAGTTATTAACTAATACATTAAACTTTATAAATGTAGTTATATGTACAGAAAGGAATCACTCAGTTGTGAGATCTAAAGAATGATGTAGTATAATATAGAGATGAGAGATGAAATAAACCCACTA